CCCATGTCCCCCGGACCCCTCTTCTCCTCTGCCCCGGCCCTCTCTCCCCCCGTTCCCTCTCTCCCCCGGTCCCCTCTCTCCCCCGGCCCCTCTCCCCGGCCCGGCCGGCTCTCTGGGCCCACCTGCCTCGCAGCGTGTTGCGCCGGCCCCGAGGGGCCGCGGGTCCCCGCCTGGACCACCGCGAGCTCCTACCGGCCCTGGTGCGGTGAGCCTCGGAGGGGCCCGCGGGGCGCGGGCGTGCGGAGGGGCGCGGCCCCAGGACCCCACACACAGAAGACCGGGGCGCGGCTGTGGCCCAAGTGGTGGAGCAATCGCCTTGAGGACGAAAGTTTGGGGACAGGGCCTAGGCTCTGAGTTGAGCCCCAAGACTGGCACCAAAACCAAAAAACAAAAAGAAACAACTTTCTCTCACGGTTGTAATCCTAGCTACTCAAGAGATTTCCTGACCAGCCTGGTCAGGAAAATCCATGACTTAAAAGCGACACCAGTGGAGCTGTGGCTGCTAGCCTTGAGCAAGAAAGTTTGGAACAGCCCCAGACCCCCAGTTCAAGCCCCAAAATAGACAGACTGATACAAGCTATATACAGTGATCAGGGTTGAACTGTTTTCTGAGTGAAGGTTCTTAACTCTCTAGGAGGACTCTGAAAATAGAATCCAAGCTTCTGTTCTGTTCTTAGAATCCCTGGAACAACCCTGTAGATCTGGAGTATGTGAGTGTGTGGGTGCTGGAGGTCAAGCCCAGGGTGTCACTGAACTGTGGTCACACCCTCCTGTTTTTGTTTTCTACTGTACTTAAAAATAGTTTGCTAAAAGCAGATTCACTTTTTCAAGAGATGTGGTAATTTTTGTTTTGTTCTTGTCAGTTGTGGGGCCTGAACTCTGGGCCTGGGCCCTGTCTCTCAGCTCTTCAGCTCAAGGCTAGTGCTCTACCATGTGAGCCACAGTGCCACTTCTGGCTTTTTTTCTTTTTGCTTATGTGGTGCTGAGGAATTGAACCCAGGGCCTCATGCATGTGAGGCAAGAGCTCTACCACTGAGCCACCTTCCCAGCCCCAGAGATACGGTAATTTTATACAATGAAATACTGCCTTTTCTACTCAGTGGATTCTGGCATACTTCAACAAACCTACCTTCCTACCTTCTTTCGAAATAATTACAGACTCAAAGAAGTTACAAAATTAGCCCACAGAACCCAAGAGCCCTTTGCCCCGTTTCCAGTTATATCCAAATCAGGAAGTGAGCTCTAGCGTGAGCCGTGCTACCTTCAGACCTGGCTCAGTGCCTGTTTTCAACCTGCCCCAGAGGTCTCATTTGTAGATTTGTGTTAGCGCCAGGACACTGGTGTTTTGTTAACAGAGATCACGAACTCTTGAGGGACAACCCTTAATTTCTTCTCCATTGCTATAATTATGTTTTCAAAGAACACTGAAAATACGAATCTGTCAAATAGGCATGCGGAACCTGCCCATTTCCTGGTCTGATTGGCAGCTGGACAGTGATGACTGTGCATCTGCTCTTCAGGGCACATTCTGTCGCTGGAGCCTAGATGAGGGCCTCTCTTCACGGCTTAGCTTCCATGGGAAGTCACGGGTCCTTGACATCCACTCAGGAAAACAGTTTCAGAGTGTCTCACCAAAAAGAACCTCACAAGATGAAAATCCTTGCTCACAAAGTGAGTAGGGATTACCATTTCAAAACCACAGGTTTAGATAGACCCTTCCATATTTTTTTATTTTTTTGGGTCTGGTCATGGGGCCTGAACTCTGGGCCTGGGTGCTGTCCCTCAGCTCTTCAGGTGAAGGCTAGCGCTCTACCACTTGAGCCACAGCGCCACTTCTGGCTTTTTTCTTTTTGCTTATGTGGTGCTGAGGAATTGAACCCAGGGTCTCAGGCATGCAAGACAAGCGCTCTACCGCTGAGCCACCTTCCCAGCCCCCCTTCCATATTTTAAAGAGAAAGCAGATTTAGGTAGCTCTTCTGTGCCCTATTCTTTTTTTGGGGGGTGGGGTGTCCCACACAGGACTTGAACTCTGAGCCTAGGCACTGTCCCTGAGCTCTTCAGCTTAAGGTAAGCGCTGCACCACTTGAGCCACAGCGCCACTTCCCCCATTCTTGTAATTTAACATTAAAAAAGAAGAGTGATGGCATAGGATCTCTTCTGCTTTTTTGAGGTCACTTCCTGGTTTTCACTTTTGAAGCTAGCTCTTTTGATACTGGTTAAAATGAATATAATTTCGAGGCTGGGAACGTGGCTTAGTGGTAGAGTGCTTGCCTAGCATGCATGAAACCCTGGGTTTGATTCCACAGTACCACATAAACAGAAAAAGCCAGAAGTAGTGCTGTGGTTCAAGTGGTAGAGTGCTAGTCTTGAGCAAAACAAGCTCAGGGACAGCGCCTAGGCCCTGAGTTCAAGCCCCCCAGGACTGGCAACAAAAATAATAATAATAATTTCCCTCTCTTCTCTTTTGTCAACTTCTGCCTCAATTCCAGGTCAAGCCCTAATGCCTTTTCTGAATTCCTGAGAAAGAATAATCCCCTGTGGTGTCTTGTTTCTTACTCTGCACCAGTGTGCCCCCTGGTGGGCAGTAGGGAGTTCTCTGGGCTTCACAGTTGGACTCCAAGTGGCATTGAAAGCCGGTCTGGGTTTCTCTTTGTTTGTTGTTATTTTTCAGTACTGAGTTTGAACCCAGGAGCTTGGGCTTGCTTAGCTGGCATTCTACAACTTTTTTTTTTTTTTTTTAGGGCTTGAACTCTGGGCCTGGGCTCTGTCCCTCAGCTCTTCAGCTCAAGGCGAACTCCCTACCACTTGAGCCGCAGTGCCACTTCTGGTTTTCTGGTGGTTAATTAGAGATAAGAGTCTCCTAGAGTTTCCTGCCTGGGCTGGCTTTGATCCTCGATCCTCTGATCTCAGCCTCCTGAGTAACTGGGATGACAGGCGTGCGCCACTGGTGTCTGGCCATTCTGCAACTTTTGCCATGCCTTCAGCACTGCTTTTAGATGGTTGTTTTGCAGCCTTTACTGCCCAGACTGGCTTGGAGCTATATCCTCCGGATCTTAGCCTCCTGAGTAGCTAGGATTACCAGTGCTCAACTGAAAGTCATCTCTTTTAGAAGCTGGTCTGTCCCCTAGGATATAGTCTGTTTTGTTTTGAAACAAACTCTTGCTATAAATGTCCAGGCTGGCCTTGAACTCTTTGTTTTTCTGCCTTAGGTATTACAGGTGTATACCAATAACTCTGGCTTGGATACCTAGTCTTCTGTGTGTGTGAGTGTGTGTGTACATGTATGTGTGCTGGTCCTGGGGCTTGTGTATGCCTGGGTGCTGCCCTTGAGCTTTTGTGCTCAAGGCTCACAATCTACCACTTGAGCCACAGCTCCACTTCTGGCCTTTGGGTGGTTAATTAAAGTCAGGATCTGGTGGACTTTCCTGCCCATGCTGGCTTCCAACTTCAGCATCCTGAGTAGGATTACAAATATGAGCCAGCAGCACCTACCTGGCTGAATGCCTTGTCTTGATTGCTGTTGTAGTACTGTGCAGACAACTACCTGTTGACTAGCCTGTGAAGGGAGGTGTAGTTTCAAGTCAAAGAAAATGCTCTACTTACTGCTGGAACTTAGGGGAGGGAAGATTTATTTATTTATTTACTTATTTGGTTGTAGGGCCTGAACTCTGGGCCTGGGCGCTGTCCCTCAGCTCTTCAGCTCAAGGCTAGCGCTCTACCACTTGAGCCACAATGCTACTTCCAGCTTTCTGAGTGGTTAATTGGAGGTAAGAGTCTCAGGCATTTTCTGCCTGGGCTGGCTTTGAACCGCGATCATCAGATCTCAGCCTCCCAAGTAGCTAGGATTACAGGTGTGAGCCACCAGTGCCAGGCCGGAAGACTTTTTTTGACTCTTGGTTTCAGTCCATCATGGCAGGCAGGCTGTGGTGGATCGATCAGAGCAGCAGACAGCATGAGGATGAAGGGAAACAGAGAGAATCCTTGTATTTCTGGCTTCCTCCATTCCCTTTTAGTCCATGTGGACCCTGGGCTATTGGATAGCACTACCTGTTCAGGGTGGATCTTCCCCCATAGTTAAACCTCTAGAACCTCTTCACATACACTCCTAGAAATACTCTCCATCTAGTCAATTGACTATGAAGGCTAACCATGCAGATGCTTCTGCCTGTAATTACAGCTACTTAGGCTGGGTCAAGGTTCAGAGTAGGCCCGGGCAGACAAATCCAAGAGGCTCTCATCTCCAATTAACCAAAAGTCAGAAGTGGAAGTAGAGCGCTTGCCTCACATGCCTGAGGCCCTGGGTTCGATTCCTCAGTACCACATAAGCAGCAAAAGCCAGAAGTAGTGCTGTGGCTCAAGTGGTAGAGCATTAGCCTTGAGCTGAAGAGCTGAGGGACAGCGCCCAGGCCCAGAGGTCAAGACCCATGACCAAAAAAAAAGTGGAAGTGTAGCTCAAGTGGTAGAGCTCCAGCCTCGTTAAGAGCAAGAATGTGAGGCCCTGCGTTCAAGCCTCGGTAGGGCAGATACACACAAATCATCAGGATGAGGCTGTATAGGTCAGTGGTACAAACCTTGCCTAGCATAGCAAGGGTCTAGGTTTTTGGACCAAGCACCATACCTCCCACCAAAAAAACAGAATCCTCACACTTGGTAATTTTTTCAATTGCTGGGAGGATTTTATATTCCCACAGGTTTACATTATATTCCAATCATTCTCAGCCACTCTCTGGATCCCCATATCACAGCTGCTTTTAAATTTTTTTCTCTAGCCATCGATGAATACAAGCCACAGGATGCCACCACCAACCCGTCCCTGATTCTGGCTGCAGCGCAGATGCCTGCCTACCAAGAACTGGTGGAGGCAGCCATTGCCTACGGCAAGAAGCTGGGTGGGTAAGTGCTCAGGTTCCCCCCCACCCCAGTCTAGTTGTCTTGTTTCTCTGCCCTGCCCAATACTGTCTTTCCCTGTTTATTAAAGTGTAAATCAGCTGGGCTCAGGTGGCTCATGCCTAACATCCTAGCTACTCAGGAGGCTGAGATCTGAGGACCATGTTTCAAAGCCAGCCTGGGCAGGAAAGTCCGTGAGACTTTTTTTCCCCCCAGTCGTGGGGCCTAACTCTGGGCCTGCGCGCTGTCCCTCAACTCAAGGCTAGTGCTCTCACTTTAGCCACAGCGCCACTTCTGGCTTTTTCTGCTTATGTGCTGCTAAGGAATTGAACCCAGGGCCTTAGGCATGCAAGGCAAGCGCTTCACCACTGAGCCACCTTCCCAGCCCTGTCTGTGAGACTCTTATCTCCAGTTAACCACCAGAAAACTGGAAGTGGCACTGCGGCTCTAAGTGGTAGAGCGTTAGCTTTGAGTAAAAGAGCTCAGGGAGAGTGCCTAGGCCCCGAGTTCAATCCCCACGACCAGTAAATCAAAAGCAGTGTAAATCAGGTGGAATAAACTGTCCCGTTGTGGAGGCACGGCTCAGAGCCTTGCTGAGAACCTGCAGCCTGCAACGCAGAGTGCCTCCAGCGCCCGGCGCCCGAGCTGTGGAGAGCCCGCTGCTCGAGACGCCGCTGCTCTGGCTTCTCGTGGGCATTTGTTAGATTGTTGTTTCCATTTTTATTTTTGGTTGGTCATTGGGCTTGAACTTGGGTCCTGGGTGCTGTCCTTGCTGTCCTTGCTCTTTTGCTAAAGGCTAGCCCTCTACCACTTTGAGCCACAGCTCTACTTTTGGTTTTCTGGTGGTTATTTGGAGATAAGAGTGTTCATGGACTTTCCTGCCTGGGCTGACTTTGAACCGAGATCCTCAGATCTCAGCCTCCTGAGTAGCTAGGATTACAGTCATGAACCACCAGTACCCAGCCAATTAGTTTATTTTTTTGGGTCCAGTCTTAGGGCCTGAACTCTGGGCCTGGGCACTGTCCCTCAGCTCTTCAGCTCAAGGCTAGCGCTCTGCTTTATTCTTTTTGCTTATGTGGTGCTGAGGAATTGAACCCAGGGCCTCATGCATGCAAGGCAAGCGCTCTACCACTGAGCCACCTTCCCAACCCAATTAGTTTATTCTTTTGGCAATACTTAGGTTTGAACATAGGTCCTTGAACTATCCAGGTAGGTGCTCTATCACCTGATGCATGTCCCTAACCCTTTTTCTTTTGCTGTTTTTGTGGTCAGTCATGTGTCTTGAACTCTGGGCCTGGGCACTATCCCTCAGCTCTTCAGCTCAAGGTGAGCTCTCTACCGCTTGAGCCACAGTACCACTTCCGGTTTTCTGGTGGTTAATTGGAGATAAGAGCCTCACAGCCTTTCCTACCTAGGCTGGCTTTGAACTGTGATCCTCAGATGCTCAACCTCTTCAGTGGCTAGGATGACAGGTGTGAGCCACCAGCACCCAAGTTTTTTTTTCCCCCTCTTTTGTGGGGCTTAAACTCAGCCTGGAGGCTGTCCCTGAGCCTCTTTGTAGTGCTTACCACTTGAGCCAGGGCCGCATACTTTTGCAGAGAAGGCACTTTACCACTTGAGCCATGCCGTCAGCCAGTTTTCATTTTCTAGACTCCATTTTTATTTTCTTCAGGCGATTATGCCTGAGAGCTGTGCTGGGCAGGCATGTGGTCTGGGCAGGAGTGGGTCTAGTAGCATTTTTCCTTGGCGCGCAGCTGCTCTGCACAGTGCCTGTAGCCCCTGCCTTCCTGACCACAGCCAGATTTCCTCTCCTCCTCTCGTGGTTGTCCTGGAGTTGTGTGGCTGTGGCACCTGGGCTCCCACAGGTCATCAGGTTCTGCTCCGGCAGCTGGCCCCTAGGTTGGAAGGGACGCCGATGCAGGCGCACCCGTGTGCATGAGATGATGGCACCTCACCTTGGGGCTCATGTGGGATTAGTAGCTGCACCTCACCTGTTATCTGCCCAGGCAACTTGGGAGAGACTGAAAAGAGCTTCCAAGTCAGGTTTTATTGAGGTCCAATTTATATGATGTTCAGTTGATCACACTGCAGTGTAAAGTTGGCAAAATGTGAGAATACACTGCTGCAGGGCATCTGTCCCAACTGTGTGTCCATTCCTGTTCCCATATCCCCATCCCTAACTGTTCATATATGGATGTATGAACATAGATGTGTGTGTGTGTGTGTGTGTGTGTGTGTGCGCGCGTGCGCTGGTCCTGCAGCTTCAACTCAGGGACAGGGCATGGGTACTGACCTTGCTGACCTTTTTTGTTCAAGGCTACGTGAGCCACAGCTCTACTTGCAGCTTTTTTTTTTTTTTTTTGCCAATCCTGGGGCTTGAACTCAGGGTCTGGGCACTGTCCCTGAGCTTCTTTTGCTCAAGGCTAGCAATGTGGCCAGGTACACCTGTAAATCCTATTCAGGAGGCTGAGATCTGAGAATTGCAGTTTGAAGCCAGCCTGGGCAGGAAGGTCTGTGAAAACTTTTCTTTCCAAATGGCTGAAAGTGGTAGAGTACTAGCCTTGAGCAAAAAAAGTTCAGGGACAGTGCCCAAGCCTAGAGTTCAAGCCCCATGACCAGCAAAAAAACAAAAGGGAGTAGGGGGTTGGGGACTAGAACTCTACGACTTGATCCACAATGCCACTTCTGTCTTCTTCTGTGTATGTGGTACTGAGGAATAGAACCCAGGGCTTCATGCACGCCAGACAAGCATTCTACCACCAAGCCACATTCCCAGCCTCTTCTAAGCTTGGGCACTGTCCCTGTGCTCTTCAGCTCAAGGCTAGCGCTCTACCACTTGAGCCAGAGCGCCACTTCTGGTTTTCTAGTGGTTTATTGGAGATTAAGAGTCTCAAGCACTTTCCTGCCCAGGCTGGCTTTGAACCATGATCCTCAGATCTCAGCCTCCTGAGTAACTAGCATTAGATTACAGGCATGAGCCACTGGAGCCCTGCTTCTACTTTTTTAAACATATATAATTTCTCTGGGAAAGGTCATTAGTTTTGCAAGTGCCAAAATAGAGGGTTTGGGCTTGGGAGATGAGAGAGCTGTGAAGATAGATAATGGTAGTGGTGATGTTTCACAGCAGTTTGAACCGCTCAGTGCTGTTCACTTACAGTGGTCAAGACAGTCAATTTTGTGGTGTAGATGTTTTGGTATTTTGAGACAGTCTGGTGTATAGTCCAGGCTTGCCTGGAAGTCCTCCCATCTGCCTGGATTATAGGTGTTACCATCTTGCTGAGCTAAAACATTGTAGAGAAAAAGAAAGAGGAAAGACACTTTGCAAAAGAATCAAGAATTTGTTTTGTAGGCTTCTGTGAAACCTCCAAGTTCTTGTTTTTTTTCCCCTACTCTGAATTTCAGGCCACAAGAAGACCAGATTAAAAATGCTATGGATAAACTTTTCGTGTTGTTTGGAGCGGAAATACTGAAGAAGATTCCAGGCCGTGTATCCACAGAAGTAGATGCCAGGTAGGTGTGAGAGGGTAGGAAGGCTGCCGCTCCCCCTTCGGCATCTATGCTTTAGGAAGGTAACTTTTTTTCCTTTTTGTTTTGGTGCCAACCCTATGGTTTGAATTAAGGGCCTGAGCATTGTGCCTTTTTTTTTTGCTCAAGGCTAGTGCACTCTACCACTTGAACCACAAGCTCCACTTATTGTAGTTAGTTGGTAATAAGTATGTCATAGACTTTTCTGCCTGGGCTTGGCTTCCAGCCATGGTCCGCAGATCTCAACCTCCTGAGTTGCCAGGATTACAGGCTTGAACTCTGGGCCTGAGCTCTGTCCCTCAGCTCTTCAGCTCAAGGTGAGCGTGGCACTTCTGGTTTTGAGTGATTCATTGGAGATAAGAGTCTGATAGACTTTCATGCCCAAGCTGGCTTTGACTGTGATCCTTGGATCTCAGCCTCCTGAGTAGCTTGGATTTCAGGCAAGAGACACCGGTGCCTGGTGGTAATTGATCTTTTGAGATGCCTGCTGCTATCCAAATGTCCTGGAGCTTCCTGCCTGCCTATTAACTGATCATTAGTCTGTCTTCATGAACATAATACCGAGCAATTCTGGCCTTGAGGTCAGACTCTAAGATCAGTCCTGAGCGGGCTGTGCTCAGAGCAGGGCAGGCACGCTGCAGCCGGTACGCTCTTCCTTGGGTCACGCTGACACATCCTCCCTCAGGCTGTCCTTCGATAAGGATGCAATGGTGGCCCGAGCCAGACGCCTCATCGAGCTCTATAAGGATGCTGGAATCAACAAGGACAGGATTCTCATCAAGCTGTCCTCAACCTGGGAGGGAATTCAGGCTGGAAAGTAAGTGGCCACTGCCAGGAAGGGGCGGTCTCATTCGACCTCTGCTTCTGGGGGCCAGTCCTTACCTCTGCTCAGGTGGACCCATAGCGTGTCCCGTTAGACCAGCCAGGAGGAAGGAAAGGCCCCTTACCAACAGGAAGAAGGAAAGGCCCCTTACCAACAGGAGGAAGGAAAGGCCCCTTACCAACAGGAGGAAGGAAAGGCCCCCTGGGTTACCAACTGTAGACTTTGCTGCTCACTTCTCTCCTGCTCCATGGAGCTAAGCTTCCATAGTTTTCATTTATTATTTGTTTTGAGCTGGTATAGAGCCTCAAACTCAGGGTCTCATCATGCTCAGGCTTGACGTTTTTAACTCTCCCATTTGAGCCATACCTCCACTTCTAGCTATTTCTGATTACTTGGAGAAAAGGTTCTCTTGAATTTGTCAGGTCTGGCCTTGAACTGGGATCCTCAGATCTCAGCTTCCTGAGTGACAGGGATTAGGGATGTAAGCCACTGGTGCCCAACTTTTGCATAGTAAGATCATAGAAAATTATTACATGCTCAGAGCAGAAGAGACTGAAAATTCAAAAACAAAGTAAAACTTTGCTGATAGCCAGTACTCTGCCTCAGGCACTGGAGTGACCGGGCACACGGGAAACCTGAGGCCTCCTCTTGCATCTGCCCAGCCTGCTTGTTCCTCTCCTGTGTCCTGGGTGCTGTTCCCCCATGCTGTGAGGGACAGCCTTAATTAAGACACTGGAAGTGGTGCTGTAGCTCAAGTGGTAGAGTGCTTGCCTTGAGCTGAAGAGCTGAGGGACAGTGCCCAGGCCCAGAGTTCAAGCCCCACGACTGACCAAAAAAAATAAAAGTTTGGGCTGAGAAGGTGGCTCAGAGGTAGAGCGCTTGCCTTGCATGCCTGAGGCCCTGGGTTTGACTCCTCAGCACCACATAAGCAAAAAAGAAAAAAGCCAGAAGTGGTGCTGTGGCTCAAGTGGTAGAGTGCTAGCCTTGAGCTGAAGAGCTGAGGGACAGTGCCCAGGCCCAGAGTTCAGGCCCCATGACCGGACCCAAAAAAAAAAAAAAAAAGACACTGGAGTGGCCACACAGCCCCAGGGAGAGAACTTGTGGCCGCAGCAACCTCTGCTTGGCAGTATTCACACCAGAGACATGGTGCAACAAGCTCTGACATCTTTGGGGTCCACCCTGTCTCCATGGTGATGGGCGTGGGCGACGGTCCAGTATGCAGGGAGAAGCTGGGGCCATGGGTCTGCTGCAGAGTAGTCCCAGGCAGGGCTAGGGCTCGGCTGTGGTCTGGGATGACACGATGACTCTGGCCTGAGAGCTAAGCTCCTGGGAGTTGTGGAGCTCTAGAAGAAACAGGGGCCTCAGGTGCTTTTGCTCCCGTTTTACAATATGAGTGGGATGAAGGAAACCCTGGCAACCTATAAGCCGTATCTGGACAGAACCCTGATGAGCAACAAGCCTGGAGGCTGCTATGGCTTTGTTTTTGGTCAGTCATGGGGCTTGACCCAGCCTGGGCGCTGTCCCTCGGCTCTTCAGCTCAAGGCAAGAGCTCTACCACTTGAGCCACAGCGCCACTTCTGGCTTTTTCTGTGTATGTGTACTGAGGGCCCAGGCAAAGTTCAAGCCCCACAACCGACCACAAAAAGGAGTCTTCACAACTTTCCTGCTCAGGCTAGCTTTGAGCCAGGATCCTCAGATCTGAGCCTCCTGAGTACCAGCTTGGAGGCTTTCTTTTTTTTCTTTTGGCCAGTACTAGGGCTTGATCTCAGGTCTGGGTGCATCCCTGAGCTTTTGCTCTAGGCTAGTGCTCTGTCACTTGAGATAAAGCACATCTGGCTTTTTCCATGTATGTGGTACTGAGGGATTGAACTCAGGGCTTCAAGCATGCCAGGCCAGCACTCCACCACTGAGCCACCTTCCCAGCCCTGGAGGCTTGCTCTTAACAGGTGAGTGACGGTTCTGCCCATTCCCACCCCACCCCCACAGGGAGCTGGAGGAACGGCATGGCGTCCACTGCAACATGACGCTGCTCTTCTCCTTCGCCCAGGCTGTGGCCTGTGCCGAGGCAGGCGTGACGCTCATTTCCCCCTTTGTGGGGAGAATCCTTGACTGGCACGTGGCAAACACAGACAAGAAAGCCTTTGAGCCCTTGGAGGACCCTGGTGAGCCGCCCCTTTGAGGTCAGAGAGGGTGGGAGGGCGAGGGAGCCGCCACACCGGTGAGCAGGAGGAGCACCCTGTGCCCAAACCATGCTGGAGGTGCAGGTTAGTGTGGGTCAGGAGAGGCTGGTGTTGAGAGCAGAGGCTAGGGCTCCTGGAACGTGACGGGGTTTCCTCCAGGGGTGAAGAGTGTGACCAAAATCTACAACTACTACAAGAAGTTTGGCTACAAGACCATCGTCATGGGTGCCTCCTTCCGCAACACGGGCGAGATCAAGGCGCTGGCGGGCTGCGACTTCCTCACCATCTCCCCCAAGCTCCTAGGGGAGCTGCTCAAGGACACAGCCACGCTAACACCCATGCTTTCAGCCAAAGCCGGTAAGCCCCGGGGCCCAGCTGTGGGTGCTGCTGGGCAGACCCGTCCAGCCTCCCCTGGTGGGGTGGGCCCCGCCACAGGGCAGACCTAATGGCTGTCACACACGTCACCAGCGTGGGGACTGAGGAGGCAGGGCAGGCACAGAGCTGCCATGTCTCCTAGCCCAGGCCAGTGACTTGGAGAAGATACACCTAGATGAGAAGGCCTTCCGCTGGCTGCACAATGAGGACCAGATGGCTGTGGAGAAGCTGTCTGATGGGATCCGCAAGTTTGCTGCAGATGCGGTGAAGCTGGAGCGGATGCTGACTGTGAGTGCGGTGGGGGCGTGAGGCCCTTCGGGTCAGCCCTGCACTGGGCTTGCTGGCCGGGCCTGAGATTTTCCTGTAGGGATCCTGGGTCCAACGCGTCTGCCCACCATCAGGAGGCCTGAGATCATCCTAGGGGAATTGTCCTGCCCCATAGCCCTTGGGGGGGGCGGTGCTGAGGGACTGGCCCTCCAACCAATGCCAGACTTCCTTCTAGGAACGGATGTTCAGCGCAGAGAATGGGAAGTAGTGCAGCACTGAGGCGGGACCCCAGACCTGCATGGCCTTCACGTTCAGGTCTGACTCCACAGGGCTTGTTACAAATTGTTATTTTCAGCTATGGGAGCAGGGATGGTGTTTCTGATTTTGTGTAAGATTTTACCTAATGCATTAAAGCAGTCACTTTTCCTGTGCTGTTTCACTTCACTGGGGATGGGGTCAGGAATCCTGAGCTGCCAGGCTGCATCTGGAAACCACATCCCATTTAAAGGGGTGCCCTGTCTGGGACCTCCTCAGTGGCTGGGATGCAAGTTTTGGGGTGCATTGTCAGATTGGGGACATAGGACGGCCCTCCTGTGAGGTTTTAGAGGCACACAGTTCTTCAATGTGTTCTGCTCCAGAGACAGCCAAGTTGGGTCTACTAGGCCTCAAACTCGCCCTCCCACCCCCACCCCCATGCCAGTCCTGGGCTTGAACTCAGGCCTGAGTGCTCTCTCTGAGCCACAAATCCACTTCCAGCCCTTTGGTGGTTAACTGGCAATAAGAGCCTTGAACAGCAATCCTTAATCTTAGTCTCCTCAGTAGGCAGAATTGTGGGCATGCACCATCCGTGCCCAGCTACTGTCTGCATTTTTGCTCACTGCTGGCAATCTCCCTCTTAAGCCTTATCTCCATTTCTAATTAGTTTTTTTTGTTTTTTGGGGGGGAGGGGGGGTCCGGTTGTGGGGCCTGAACTCTGGGCCTGGGCTCTGTCCCTCAGCTCTTCAGCTCAAGGCTAGCGCTCTATCACTTGAGCCACAGCACCACTTCCGGCTTTTTTTTTTCTGCTTATGTGGTGCTGAGGAATAGAACCCAGGGCCTCAGGCATGCAAGGCAAACGCTCTACCACTGAGCCACCTTTCCAGCCCTGAAATCCACAAAACTTTAACTTGCAAAAAAAACTAATTAGGGCTGGGAAAGTGGCTCAGTGGTAGAGTGCTTGCCTTGCATGCCTGAGGGCCTAGGTTTGATTCCTCAGCACTCAGAAAACCACAAGTGGTGCTGTGGATCAAGTGGTAGAATGCTAACCTTGAACTGAAGAGCTGAGGGACAGTGCTTAGGCCCAGAGTTCAAGCCCCATGACCGACAAAAAAAAAAAACTAGCAAAAAATCAGGCTAGGGGCATGCCTCAAATAGTAGAGCACCACCAGAGCAAACCAGTGGAGCTTAAGGCTCAGAGTTCAAACCTTGCTACCAGGAAAAATAAAATAAAACAAAGTATTTTTAAAAGGCAAGTAAGAAAACCCAGTTTATTCCTTATGGCCAAATGGCTCACTGTATGGACCACCAGTATGTAGTCACAACAGAGGCCACGTCATTGAAGGAAGATCACATACCCATTTCTTACTATGACTGTACAGACATCTGAATCTGTTCATTCTTCTGAACCATCTCTATTTCTCTTTCGTCAGACTAGTGGCTTGCTCATGAACACACCATGGGCTTGTAGGGAAACCTTCACCTACTCAGCCGCTACTTTTGCTCTCTCTCCTCTTCTCTAGCCTACTTCCCTACCCCACACTCCAGAGAACTAGGCAGTGGTCACAGCCAGGAGCAGAGCCTCTGCACCTCACACTGGCCTCACCCATGAGCTGAACGTGGTCCTAATTCAAGTCCAAACTTCGTCCCTAAGGTGGCAGCATTAGGAGATGGGACTGGGGGGGGGGCGGGTTGAGCAGATGGAGGGTAAAGACCCCATGCTGCGAAGTGCTGTCCAACCCTGGAAGCCTTCCCACCAGACCATCTCATCACACCATGATCCTGACCTCACAGTCTCTAGTATTATGGGAAATCCAATCTGGTCATCCAGTCTATGGTTGTTTCCCAGCCTGAACAGGACAAGAGAGGGCATGATTTGGATTTTTTGTCAAGGATATCTATCACCGCATGGTACTGAGAGTGAATCACGGCAGTGCAAACTGGCACTAGGCTCCATGAGCATCTCCCTGGCCGGGTCCAGGGGTGGCTGGTTGTCTTGCCCTTGCTTCCTTCCTCCATCTGTTCTGATTTATTTTTTGTCTGTCGTGGGGCTTGAACTCTAGGCCTGGGCGCTGTCCCTCAGCTCTTCAGCTCCAGGCGAGCATTCTACCGCTGGAGCCACAGCGCCACTTCCGTTCTTCTAGTAGTTTATTGGAGATAAGAGTCTCACGACTTTCCTGCCTGGGCTGGCTTTGAACCGCGATCCTCAGATCTTAGCCTCCTGAGCAGCTAGGATGACAGGGATGAGCCACTGGCACCCGGCTCTGTTCTGAACTTCTTTGTTGAAGCTTTGTAACCACCAGGGGCCTCCTGCCATCCTGTGACCCGAGGAGAGCTGTGGGAGCCAATCAGACAGACAGGGACAGTAGCAGGGGAAAGTGGGTCTGAGCTGCCTGAGACAGCAAGGTGTTTCAGTGGAGACCCACAGCCAAGGCCAGGTGCCACACCCAGAAGTGGCCCCACCGCCATCTTGTGTCCCTGGAAGCCCCGGCTAGGGCCTGGGAAGCAGTGACTCATGGCCGCCCCGTTGGGCCTCAGTTGCACCCCTGTAATGGCCAAGGCTACAGAAGCCATAAAACAAACCAGAGACTGGGGGGTGGGGTGAGGTAATCAAGTTTATGAATCTATAAAGCCAGGCACTGGTGGCTCATGCCTGTAATCCTACTCAGGAGGCTGAAATCTGAAGATCACAGTTCAAGGCCAGCTTGGGGCAGGAAAGTCAACAAGACTTTTATCTCCAAAAAACTACTCAGAAAAAAACAGAAGCGGTAGGGCTGGGAAGGTGGCTCAGTGGTAGAGCGCTTGCCTTGCATGCATGAGGCTCTGGGTTCGATTCCTCAGCACCACATAAGCAGAAAAAGCTGGAAGTGGTGCTGTGTCTCAAGTGGTAAAGCCTTGAGCTGAAGAGCTGAGGGACAGCGTGCAGGCCCAGAGTTCAGGACCAAAAACCAGAAGTGATGCTGTGGCTCAAGTGGTAGAGGCTGACCTTCAACTAAATACCTCAGGGACAGCAATCAGGCCCTGAGTTCAAACCCTAGGACCCGCCCCCAAAAAAGAAAGAAAATCTATGTGACAGATGAGAGGGGAGGACAGTAGTATGTCCACCCCGGCAGCCCCCATGGCTATCTGAAAACTCCCTATTCACCCTTGGGAGGTGAGAAGTGCTGAGCAGATGTGGTCTACCAGCCAGCCCTCCAGGACCCCTCCAACAGCTAAAAGTACGGGTGCAGCAGAGGCCCCCCCAGCTCCTGTGCCTGACCTCGGATCTCATGCTGATGGTGGACATGCCCACTGCAACCAGTTCTCCTTGGTGTACACCTTGCTGTCCCTACTCCCTGCTGGAGAACAGTATGGGACCCCAGGGGCTCGGCCCTCCATTAGAGCTGACACTCCTCAGGGCTGACTTCGGAAGGCTTCCAACAGTTCCACAGAAACCAAGGGCCAAAGGCGCCTCTTCACATGGCGACAGCACAGTCCTCAGCATCAGCAGCAAGGCCAGAAGTGAGTCCAGCTGCCTCAGGGGACACCTGGGCCATCTTGGGGGGCAGCATGCATCGCAGGCTTATTTCCTGTGGGGAAAGACATGGAATCCAGGTCATGCACTCCGTTCATGGCACGTGGCTGGGCACCTCACAAGGTGGCAGGAATCTGCCTGAAGCCCCTTCCCAAGCCTCACCGGCTGCCGCAGAGAAAGAGCAGGTTCTGTACAGCAGGGACGGTGGAGTTGGCGTTCTGGCCAGTGACCAGGTGTCGGTCCAGCACAACGTGCACAGCATCAGGTTCACTGGCTGAGGACAGAGCGCACAAGGTTCCCCTGGGCCCATGACCCCCACCTGAGGGCTCAGCAGCCGGCCCAGGCCTGCGACCTGCAAGCTGTGCTGCTTGGGAATGGGCCTGGCTGCTCCTCCCCCTCCCTGTCTATAGTGGGGTGTGGGCCTGGCCGCTCCTCCCCCTCCCTGTCTATAGTGGGGTGTGGGCCTGGCTGCTCCTTCCCCTCCCTGTCTAGAGCCCGGCACCGGTTGGGGCTCACCACTGAAGCCAGCACCAGAGTCCTTCACAAAGTCCTCCACAACCAGGGGCAGGTGGGCGAAGCCAGGGGCTCTGACAAGTTCGTACACGGAGGGCTGTGGGAGGCAGGCCATCAGCTCTGGCAGCTGCAGACCCCTGGCTGTTCTGAAATGCCCTCAGGGATCCCCTGGGCTGGGGACGTCCCACCGTCATGCAAGGAAGAGATGAGAAGGCCAGAGGCATGGTCACGATGGCTACATTTCCCCTAGGATGGCCAGAATGAGCTGGGATAGCAGCTTGGGGGGGGGGTGGAGGAGGAGCCCAAGGGCTGTGGGCTTTCCCGGGTGCCCCAGGCTGCCTCTGCCGCATAGTGTGCGCTCAGCGCTGGGAGCCCTAGCAACTGGGGAAAGCAAGGTTGCAGCGCATGACTCTGCTCCTGGCGTCCTGACCAGGGGGTCCCAGCCTGTCCGTGCAGCACTCACCCCTGTCAGGCTGTAGCCGGTGAACACCCAGGACCTGTCCTCACCAGTGGCACAGCACAGGGCAGCAACACCATGGCCAATGGCACAGATGGGCTCTGAAAGCAGCAAAGCACCTGAGGAGCCTGGCCTCCGCTTCCCCAGGCATGCCCTGTCCCGTGGCTGGGCCAGCCCACACCCCAAGGGGCTGTGCGGAGACCCAGCCAGGGTGCATGCCAGTCCTTCAGGACCATGCCACCACAGCCAGCAGGCCAGATGCCTGGCACTCCATCAGGACCCCAAACAGCACCTGCCTAGGCCAGCAGGGGCCAGCAGGGAGCCCGAAGAGACAGATGGGAGACGGCCGTACTCTCTGGGTAACCTGTCACCGCTACAGGAGGCGAGGTGAGCTGGCACAGCTGGCCTGAACCCCACGCCGCCTGTGTGGCGTGTTCCTCAGCTTCCCACCATCACTGCTCAGCCACCCTCCACTCCCACCCAGACACCTGCCCTCCTGCCCGTGCGGCTCCGTCACCCACTGTTCTCGGAGCGGAAGTGCTGCAGAATGCGGGCCAGGGACCCACTGCTGGCCAGGTCAGCCAGCGCGCCAGGACAACTGGGGATCAAGAGGGCGTGGTACCGGGCACCTGGGGAGAGATCACAGGACAGAGGCCACGCCTTGGTCACGAGACCCTCCAGAGAAATCTGCTGCCCAGAGGGATCACTCGCTGTCCTCATGCAGGCTCCAGCAGGCCACCCTGCCGTCTCATCTCCACGAGGAGCCCAGGAAGCACCGGTCCCCAGACCCAGGCTGTGATGTGGAGACTGGTCTACAGTCCCAGTCCCAGGCAGCTCCGGGGCAAAGCAGGGCAACACTTTAGGACTACAGTCTCAGCCCCGTCAGAATGGATCCCAGCCCACCGTCAATGGACTCCAGCTTGGCAGGGCTGGCATAAGCCTTGAGACGGAAGTCTTGTACCCAGCGTGCATTGCTCTCAGTCACATCCACGAAGTCCATGGCCTTTCCCTGTGGGAGCAGAAACCAGAGGCCAAGGGTCAACACGTGAATCATCCATGCTCTTAGCAACCAGGAAGCCTGGAAACAGGACAGGGGAGCCACCTGACAGGAGCTGCACCCCCCCCCTCCGTGGCTGTCACAGTGAGCCAGCCTCCAGTGTGAAGCCCAGGGCAACCACATCTGCTGGCACACCCCAAAGTTTTGGCGCGGGTTCTACCCCACCTGTCTCTCTTGGCCCTTGGCCTCCCACTTATAAAGGTACAGGAACTGTTCTACCCACCCCAAAGCACACACAGTCACACGCGTGCAGTTCACCCTTGCTGTGACCTACCTAGGTCCGCTGCCCGCGGAGGGGTGGCAGTACTCACCCCAGGGGTGGCCACCTGCAAATTGAAGGCAGCACTGGCCAGCGTGAAGCAGTGTTGGAAGGACTGAGCCGACACACCTGGAGAAGAGGGTACCTGCTGGCGGGGGGTATACAGGCCTAGCCTCCTCTCCCCCTCGGGCTGCCCCGACACCACAACTCTCCCTTAGGAGCCACCCACCTACCACAGACATGCATACACCCTCAGCAGAGCAGCAGCTCTTTGGGTCAAGGAAGGTAAAGCTTAGAGGCACACACACACACACACAGACATGTGTGTGCTCTGCCAGTCCTGGCCCCTGCCCCGGGAAAGACCCACAGCCCTCAAGGCAGGATCTCCCAGGCTGGCACCCCACCCTCAGGCCTCCAGCTGGAATTGGGGGCAAGATCCAGCCTATTTCAAGTGCCATGCACCTGCTCCTGACACCCCATCCTCACCCCCTAGAAGCCTTTCTAAAAGCTAAAGCTCAGCTCACCCACACATAGCAACCCTGAGCAAGGCCACCACGGTGGAGGTGGGGCAGTGGGGAGGGGCAGATGGAGAACACCAGGTCCTAACACCCATGATGTGCAGGTCCCTTCCCCACAATGGCCTGAGATTCTGGCCTTCGGCTCTGTCTGGCTCCCCCGTGTCCAGGCCCCGCCCCCGTGCTCAGACCCCCCCGCCCCCGTCCCCC